AGCTAGCTAACTCAATAAAAGTGGTACGGATAGCTAGCTATCACAAGCCGATATTGCCCGATAACATATTTTTATAGCTAGATAATCTCAAAGGCATTTTTTTGCTTGGGATAATCTAGAAATATTATCTTCAGTTCAAAAATGCACCAGATACTCTAAAATGTTTTTAAACTATTCACACAAAGTATGAGGGCTAACTATTTTATGGTTCGACAAATTCATTAAAAATGAGCATTCAATATTGGAACATACATAGGAGGGCAAAGGTGAGCAATCAAGGGTCGTCCATTCTATCCTAACTTCTGTGGTTAATGTCCGTCATAATCATGTAAAAATATAGTAATGAAACCTTTGCGGGAAAAATATCTACACTTAAAATATTGTCAAGAAGACTTCACACTCATCTTAATCCTAAGTCATTTAATTTATTTTGCGTCTTTCTCATTTTCCATGTAACTTGCAAGCAAATTAAAAATATATTACCGATCAGTAGACAAAACTGCATCGTCGCATCTTGATATCTTTTTGCGTTCGAGAATTATTCACAAGTCAGGAAACTTAAATAGAGCGTCCTGAATTCGGGACTCTGGTAAAAGTTTACGGACCAAGTCTTTCTCGGCCCGACTAAGCGTAGAATTTATTTGACCCGGCCCGACCAATCCTGCAACTTTTCTGGTCCCACAAGACCACTTTGCGTTTTTCGTCTTGTATCTGTAATGCTGCTGCTGGCTAAGCGGTGTAAATGTATTTCTTAAGCTAATATTTGTATTTTTATGATTTCTCGGTACGGAGTATACACATAAATTACAAATCCACGCATGCCGAAAAGTTCTAAGTTCAGTCCGACCCGACCAAAATACTTGGCGGGCCAAGCCCAACTCTATAAAATTTTCTGACCCAGCCTTTGTTGATCTCTGCCTGGAATATCCAGAATATTCAGGATATTTGGGATATTTAGGATATTACCTAAATATCTTAAATATCCTAAACAGTCTCTGTCTCCGTAAAATCCTAAATGTCCTAAATATCCTAGTTATCCTAAAGCTTTTATACCTCGAGAAAAGCCTAAATATCCTAAATAGCCTTGACACCCCAACTATCTTATATATCCTAAATATCGTAAACATTCTATGCCGCCATACAATTTAAGATAAAATATTTAAGATTTTCAGCATATTTAGCATATTTACGATATCCGGGATATTTAGGATATGGAGGATTTTATGGGCGTATAGACCGTTTAGGATATTTAGGGTGAGGTTCAGTTACGCTACACGATCGTCGATCTATTACCAATTTTGACTAATTTATATATATAGGCCTCTTGCATAAATAAACAGAACATCTTTTTCGATTTATACAAATACACGTTCGAAAATAACTGATTCAAACACATTCGATGAAGTCTCCTATTTCCCTGCCTAGTTACATGAGCCGAATAAAACACGACAATTTTTTTTGCTGACTAGATTGATTAGACCCACATCAGTTAACTTTACGTTAACTGGAATACTACTCGATCCATTTTAGTCTCTGGTACCCACTTCATCAAGTTATATTCTTACAAGTACTGGTTGACGTAGACGTCGATTATATTCTGTTCTCCTAGATGTTTTTCTTTCTGATGGATCTTTATACCGTTCTTTACTTAAATATTTTAAAGTGTTTACACATATCTCGATATTTGTCTAAAGATTAAAAAGCACCTGATCAAATAAAATAGAATCGACTTCTCAACTCTTGTGATGTTTGAATTGAATTGAGAAGAGATAGATGTATTGACATGAGAAACGAAGAGAAATATTACACAGAACACACCTTTTATTATGAAGTACATTCGATAAAGTTGAATGAAATGAAACAAGAACTACATTGAAAATTAAAGACAGAAAACGAAATCAAAAAAGTATTTTGTAAGAAATAGAGAAAATGACAAAACTTGTGATATTCATTGTGATCAGTGTTATGTTGGTTGGAACAATAATCAATGGTGAAAGTGAGTAGAATGCACGTGCTATATACACGAACGACATGCTACATTCGTTTATTTGTTACTTCAGCTAATCCAGTAACACCAACCACTCTGCGTGGTCTGTGGTGTCTTGCCGTATATAATACAACTCACAATTATACACAATTAGCTCAAGCTTATTTCTACAATAATGGTACATTTACGATGAATTTTTTGGCAAATATTACGAATACCTGGGTAAATAGTTTACATCGCATTACTCAAATTTACAGACATATTTCTATTGTATCCATTGTTCCGATGGAAAATGTATTCAAGAAAAAGGCGTCGAATCAGAATCTCAGCAAATTTTTTCTAATTTACAGCAAAGATAATCTGTTTTTTAGGTAAATTATTTCACCTCTGTTAACAACACGGATTCAGATGGTACTTATCGTATAGAAGTTATCACAACAGCGGGCGGTAAGTAGTGCGTTCAAAAGTACAGTTTGCTAACTCATTTTCTTCTCGTTTATAGCTCCTGTATCCGACCAGAACAGAACGTTATGTTATTGGCGTAAACAAATATCGAATGGTGATGTACTATGGGGTAATCCTACCAATGGAATATGCGCACCTACATTTGTAGAACTTGATACATTGCCCAGATATACTCGTTTATCATCAAATTGTTTATATTATGACGATGAAACATTTGAGAAAATATCAAGTACGTCATTTGAATCCGAACTACTGGAGTTTGATCGTGATCTGAGTCGATCATCATTACCACAGAATGCTGTTGCCTTCTATGGTAGTTCATCAATTCGAATGTGGACAACACTCGCTAATGATTTTTCGTCAATATCAGTAATTAATCGTGGTTTTGGTGGTTCAACATTAAAGGAATGTGTTCATCAATTTAAACGTGTGGTTTATCCACTCGATCCAAAAGTGCTTCTAGTCTACGCCGGTGAAAATGATATTGCAGATAATCAAACATCTGAACAGGTTTTTGCATCGTTCAACTCTTTTGTACAGATTGCACGTCAAATGTTGGGCGATCAGATACCAATTGGATTTATTTCAATTAAACCGAGTCCATCACGAATTCAATTTATTACACAAGTTCGTCAAACAAATGAAATGATTGAACGAACAATTAGTTCTATGAATGATGTCACTTATATTGATGTATTTAATTTAATGGTAGATACCAATGGAAATCCTTTGGAAAGTTTATTTTCGGATGATCGTTTACATATGAATGCCAAAGGATATCAAATTTGGACAAAAGTTGTCAGTGATTATCTTCGATCAAAAGGATTATTACCAGATCAAACATCAACACCCTCAGTTGCTCCCATATTTAAAGCCACGTTATGGATAATGATCTTAGTTGTAATCAGTAACAGCATCAATTTTTCTCAGTAGTTGCAGATTTCCTTCAACAAAATTTAAACGTTTTGAATTAAAAATCAATTTCATAAGTCAAAAATGTGATTTGTTCTGCTAATAAAGAAATGAAACAGCGTTCAAAATCGAAATTCAATAAGACTATTGCAATTTCCCAAATACTCTTTGAAGTGGTTAGTTTTTATGCGTTACGCAAATGTAACTCATTAGAAAATTTTACCAATTCGTATAAAATTAATATCACGGTTAAAGTGGATGATGAAGATTTTCTTGGTATCAAAGATCCATGGTTCGAATATTTTATAATTATGATGCGAGCCTGGTAAAATCATAACTTCATAAATAAAACTACAGATATATATTTGTTTCATCAAAAGAATTCTGTAGTAGTACAATAAAACAATTGAGTACAAAACAGATGAGTAATTTGCAGTTCTATCAAACAACTTGTCATTCTAGGTAGAGACCTGCTGGATCGGGTCGGGTTTGGGTTAAGCTATTATAGGCTCAGGTCGGGTCGGGTTCGGGTTGAACATTTTGCAATGTAAAATATAGATAATAATTTCAATTTTGTATTACTCATTGAAAAGTTAACTATACCGGAATTCTCGGTTGAAATACTTATTTCAGAACAACTGCATTCACTAACGAGGCAAAGTCTTCAGATGTCCAGCTCCATTTTTAATGATATTATACCAGTTAACAGAGGAAAGTGAACTGATAAAATGCCTTAAACGAGGACCCATATCAGTTCTTTCAAAAGTTATGATTATTTTTCTAAAGGAACACTGTGTGTATTAACAATAATAATTCTGTAACCCAGTCAAAACAAAGAAATAAGAAGTGAAATTTTCTCTTGTACTTTCGCTAACAGTCTGTTAATATTACCGAAAATTTGAGCGTTATATCTTCCTAAATTCGCTTATTATTGAATTTTTCTTCTTGAAGAAAAACAATGTTTTTCGGAACCGCACAATTTCCAAAGATAATATTTCTCTTTTATTAGAGGTGATATTGAGAATTTAGAAAGATATATCGCCCAAATTTTCTGGAATATTAGCAGACTATTAGCAAACGATCACTCGCCTGTAATGCGATGCCTTCCGCCAAACAAATAGGTAAACAAAAAGACATGAACTTTAGAACAAAACAAAAGAGTAAAAATTTATCCGGTCGGGTTCGGGTTAAGCTATTGTCGGATCGGGTTATGTTTTCTTACCTCGTGCAGGTCTATAATTCTAGGTAAACGACTGCAATCTAAAACGGGTATTTTTATCGTAAAATAGCACTACTTCGCCACTTCACTTCTAGCCAAATCAATTTATGACATTGTTATTTCCTTGGGTTTTTCGGATTTTTTATGTCTGACAAATCTATTTAGTGTCAGCTCTCACGAGTGAGGACGTTCCTAACTATCCAATCGCTTTTGAGACAAAACTCAGTGGACTATAGGTAGTCGACCATACTGATCCCGAATATCAACATGAGACGGGCTGATAGGCCTCTAGAGACCACTTTTCTGGAAAATCAATTTTTCAGACACTATAAAAATGAACCCAAACCTTTCTTAATGTGGCGTAATTGTAGTTCGCACATTTCTGATTAAACTCAGATATCTCCTAGCTCTACATGACCTTTCTCTGCAAAATTATAGAATTTACAAGAAAAGCCCTAAACGTTGATTGTCAGCTCAAAGCTAAGAAAGTAATTTAGGACTTTTCTTGTAAATTCTATAACTTTGCAAAGAAAGGTGCTGTCGAGCTGGGAGATGTCTCACTTTAATCAGAAATATACGGGCTACAATTATGCCTCAGTAAGAAAGGTTTTGGTTCTTTTTTAGAGTTTCTAAAAAATTGGTTTCCCAGAACACCGATCTCTGGGGGACTATCAACCGGTCTTGTAGATTTTCTAATTTCGTCTGTTTATCGTTTCACTCAGTCGATTTTCCATAGCTGGAATCGAGTCTTTAAGTCGACTGAGTAAAACGATAGGAAGACTTATTCTGTTTAGTTTCGAGCGTTGCCTAGCAAAATTCTTCTTTCTTTCTTTCCACAGTGTTTTCGTGTTTGAGTCAGACACTCTTTCTCGGTTACCTATGATAGTATAGACTTAGGGAAAAGATGTTTCGAACGTGCAGGCATTGTAGATACCACATCTGAAGTTAGTTGTCGGATATTTGCTTTAGTTATCCTATAATAAGTATGATAAAATCAGTATATTTTTTAGAAACTGTCTTTTTTCCTAAGAGATATCTAATTAATCATATCAATGATAGATGAAACTTTTAAATAGAACTAGAGTCAATGGAAACTGCATTTTCGGATAGAGGATAGTCGATTGCATATGTATCCACGAAATTGGCTCGGGGCACTGTCAGTGGGAAGCAAATAGTTTTTTGGAAAGTTTTCAAGGGAAAGAAACAAAAAGAAGCAAAAATATATATCAACTCGAGCAGAAATTGAACCCAAGCCGTAAGAATTCTCTTTCTTTCTGCTCTAAAAAATGAACTTTTTCATTATTAACGTTCTGAAGGATCTTCAAGAAACATATGCGAAAAATTACCTAAACGAGAAAGAATTTTGCATTCTCATGACGGAAACTGAGAGAAATTGAATTTTTTGAGTATATCTTTTTGTCTGTAAAAGAAAATGTGCAGGTGGAGCCAGGACGTCGAAAACAGTGTAGTTAATTGCTTATTAAACGCTAGTTAATAGCTGTTCAAAAGTCATTAGTGACTAATGACTTTTGAACAAAGTTGAGAAGTGTGCTTCTTATAATTCTCAGTCAACAATTTTCTAATTTTGAAAGGCTCTGGTGGCCAAGAAGCGACTCAAATGTTTTCCATTTTCTAGCCGTATTTATACAAACCATCGGGATAACAGAAGATCTAGATAGTGGAACAGTTTTAGTTCAGTTGGTTTGAATGAAATCTGGCTCCCAGTTTTCTGAGTTTTTTTCTAAATCTCATTAGAATGCATATTCTAATACTTGCCCTGTTTATAAATCGGTTTTATTCAATTTACTAATTTACTTGGATGAACCAGGTGTTTCCATCGATTCTGCATTTTGATATCTGATGTTGTTGAGTGTTGTTATACTTGGTGCGTTTTGTGGCTGGACTCATTGCTCGGTTGATGCAAAATAAGGCTGGGACAGTTCTTTTTCCTATACCTCTTGGAAACCGCTGATTATAACCACTGTGTGAATATTTTTTAATCGATCTGATTAAAAAATTTATTATTTGCTAATTTAAATTAAATTATTTTGCTAATTTTCTAAGTTTTCCGGTTGTAAGCTCTGTTCAAAATGTCGCTTTTTTTTTCTTATAATTTGTAAAAGTATCCGCGTAACATTTAAAATGGACCAAATTCTTCCGAAAAGAATCAATATACAGTTTCTCATTCAAAAAGAAATAAACTATAACTGTACACAACATTCCCAAACAAAACAACGTATAAATACAATATGGCGAAATAAAAGTACACAAGTCGAGAAACTTGTGATTCCACAGACAAGAATCTTGTTTCTTAGTCAGAACTCAACAGTAAAAGAGCCATTTTGTAGATAATTCAACTTTCTATCGATTAACCTGCTTTTGAAAAGTTTTACCGAAAATCTCGTGGTTAGGAAATTGAAAAAATGAGAGGTACTATTTGCATATCTTTTTTATAAATTTAGTAAAGTAGCTCTCATTGTTTTCAATTTCCTAATCAAGAGATTTTCGCTAAAACTTTTCAAAAGCAGATTAATCGATAGAGAATTAAATTATCTACAAAATGGCTCATTCACTTTTGAGTTTTAACTTTTTGAAAAGTTTCTGGAAATTGAATAAAATCACCAAAAAACGTTACGGAATTCCAGTTAGCTGGACAGGCCGTTTAGCAAAAACTTTTTTAGCCAACAGGCCCTTCGAAAATTTCAACCGGCCGCTCGAAAAACGATAAAACACTGCACTGAGTTATGAACGGTTTAAATTTTGAATCTAGATTTTGAGAATTCTATTAGACTGCATCTTAGATTAATTGATAATAACCAGACAGCTCTTTCTCAAGGTCTAAAACGATCATTTTCCGTTGCTAGGTTGTTGCTATGCTAGCGTAAAGGAAATGTACGCCCATACTTTGTCACTTTTTTCTAAGAAAATATGGAACAAGATGCTTGTCTATACAAACAAGGTGCAAGATTATTATAGATGGGAGCACAAGCTTTCTCGGCTATTGTAGTAATTAAATTTGAAAATATGTACGATCTCATTTTTAGTTCAGTCACCGCAAAATGTATTAGTCAAGATGTTCACCAAGGAACATTTGTAAAAATGGCTCAAGAATCACAAAAAAAATTAAAAAACAAACACGAATTTGATAAAAAGTAATGAACCCTGTATGACATGTACAGAGAAAAACTTAATTTTTTGTGATTAAATTGAAAAATAGCATGAATATGACTTCGCATAATTCCCATGGGGAAATTTTATCGACTTTTCATGCGTGAGGGACTGTGAAATGTCAACTTGGACTTTCACGAAATTTTGTAGGTAAAGACAGGAAGTTTCACGACGGTTCGGTCGTGTTGTTGCAACATCATACGCGTGGCCACACGTGAAAAATCTTCCCACGTGTACACAAGTGAACAATCTTCACGCGTGATTACGTGTGAAAAAATTTTGACCATCCCGACCATCTATAGTCAACTGACTATAGATGGTCACCATGGTCAAGGTATAATGCCGCCTTCATCAGTGCAACTTCATCTATAAATTTTTCCACGTGTGATCACTAGTTTCTAAAATATCACATTTTATATATATCGTCACAAAGTAAGAGTAGGGTACTTTGAATTAGAAATCTACGATACTACATGCTATTGAGCTAACTTACCTGAGAAACTACTGAATAAACCTCATATTCATATTTGTCGAATCAATCTTCACGAGTTACCACGTGTAAAAAGGTTCCCACTTGTGAACTTCCTAAATCTGTTTTCTTAGTTTCCAACTTTTCCAAACTATTTTAGTTAAT